TTTTTCACCTCTTTCCCCCTCCTTTTTCCCCCCTTTCCCCCTCCCCAGAGCCAGGACACCAGCTCCTCCTTTATCACAAGGTGGTTTGAATTGGAAAAGGACCCTCAAGATCAACCCTTTCTGCCACCTCCCACTGATACCAGCTGCTCATTGAAAAAGTTAAGGTTTGGGGGAGTTGGGGGGAAACCCAAAAAACACTTTTGGGAGACAAAAAACCCCAACAAACCACATAGAAGAGAACAAAAGAGACAAGCAGAATCAGAACAGAGCTTGTCTAACAGTCAGAAAGCAACAATGGAGAACAACACATTCCAATCTGAGAAAAAACAACAGGTCCTAAGTATTCAACAGCCTGTCCTTGAGACAGGCCTGCAAAACAGAGGATAAGGATGGAAAGGAGCACTTTCCCCACCACTTATCTTGCTGAGAGTCTTGAGCATTAGGCAGTGAACACTGAGGGACACCTCCCACCAGCCCAGGCTGCTCCAAGCCCCATCCACCCTGCCCTTCAACACTGCCAGGGAGGGGCCAGCCACAGCTTCCCTGGGCAACCTGGGCCAGGGTCTCACCACCCTCACACTCCACAATTTCCTCCTCATGTCTCACCTCACTCTCTCCTCTTCCAGTTTTCATCCCTTCGCCCTTGTCCCAAGCCCCTCCCCAGCTTTCCTGGAGCCCCTTCAGGCACTGGAAGGGGCTCTCAGGTCTCCCTGGAGCCTTCTCTTCTCCAGGCTGAACACCCCAACTCTCCCAGCCTGGCTCCAGAGCAGAGCTGCTCCAGCCCCTGGATCATCTCTGTGGCCTCCTCTAGGTTCACTCCCTCCACCTCCCTGTCCTTCCTGTGTTGCTGGCTCCAAAACTGGACACAGCCCTGCAGGGGAGGGTGTCTCACCAGAGTGGAGTAGAGGGGAAGAATCACCCCCCTTGACTTCCCGCAGTGTCTTTTTAAATCCCAGATTTTCTGCAAACTACACTTTCATGCTCCCTTGGAGGCCATTGAAGGGCTGTGAAGGAAGGGACCATCACCCTTCTCCTTCACCTCCATTCTTCTTTCCCTTTTTCCTTCCCCAAAGATGGGTTTGGCCCCTTGGCACAGGGGGCTCCAGCTTTTCTGAAGCCCTGCTCCCACCAGCCCTGCCTTGCCAATTGGTTTGCTCCTTGTGGGGGCAGTTGGTGACATTTTACACCTCGTGTTCCCTGTTGCCACCTGGTTGCCTTTCACCTTCCCCATCCCCAGCATCCAAGGCAACTGTCAACAGCCTGGGGTCTCTCCCTCACTCCTCCCTCCAAGAGAGCTGCATCCAAGCCTTTCTTCACCAAAGCAAAACAGAAAGTCCCTGAGATGCTCTTGGCTGGATTTTTTTCCACGTGGGAAAAAATAAATGCAGATGGACCCAGATACCTCAACCTCCCAGCAGCACCAGTACAGGCAGAGCTGGCCACTCCTGGGAGCCAGAGCCAGCCAGCACCCATCTCCAGCCTCTCCAAGCCTTCAAGGAGAGTGGAATCAGATGGGTTTGGACACCCAGATGTCAAAATAACCCATGACACATGCACGCTCCAGTGTTTTCTCCCCACCTTTCCTTTGCAAGCAAACAAGCAGAAGCACATGCCAGACCCAGGGGTGACACCCTGAGATGGAAAAGCTTCAGAGGAGCTTCTCTCCAGAGGTTTCTCCTTGGGATCCTCATCTGCATTGACGTGCCAGGCTGGCAAAGCACCTGAGGAGATGTTCGAGTCAGTAACCCATCAACTCAGAGGGATTTGCCTGATGGTTCTGACCTGCTGCCATCAATCATGTCAGGAAAGCCACTGGTGGAGAAGAACCTTGGATCACATCAGCTCAAGGGACCGTGACAGCCAAGCAGGGTCAACAAGAGCCAGTCCACACTTAACTGGAGCAGTGACAGCCCCTGGGGGTCAGACCCTCCACAACACAGCCCCCCCAACCCCACCTCTGCTCTGGGCAGGTTTTTAGGGGCACCCCTAATGCTTCCAAGCAGGGTTTGGGCTGTTTCCCCTTCCACCCCAAGCCTAAAACTAGATCCAGCTTGGTTTGATAGCACAGCAGAGCTTCATGGTTATCCCAAAGGATTACTGGACACCCCATGGTGCTGCTCACCCTCCTGCTGGGGGTATAACAGAGCAGAGAGCACGCAGGTAATAGTTAAGAGATTATTTGTTAACAAGGACTTGGAGAGAAGCTCCTCCCACCCCTTGATGCAGTTTGTTCCTGTAGGGAACAGCTCGTGCTAAGTCAGCTGTAAAATCCAGCCAGACTGGCCCAAAGGAGATGTTCTAAACATGCAATGGAAAGGTCAGGAGGCTCTGGTGTGGGCTGTGCTCCCAGCTGTCCTTTCTCTGGCAGAATAAACACTTAGTGGTGGCACACCAGTCACTCCTGGACCTGTCATGGGGACTGAGTTCAAGATGCCAACTGCAGAGGAGCTTGGTTTTAAGGAGGGTGAGCAAGGTGGGCATTTCAATAGTAGAACATCAGCTGAAAGGAGGCACCAGCTGGTCAAAGCTATCCAAAGATCTGAGCCCTTGGAAAGATGGGTTAGTCCAAAAGGTGCCTAGTGAAAGCAGCTTTGGAGCCTGAAGTTATAGGAATGAACATGCAAAGTAAACAAAAGGTGATGACTTTGGAGAAGGTACCTGCCTCAGCGTTGGGTTTGGAGCTGGAAAGCCCAGCTGGAGTGTTGTGCATCTTTGGATGGTACATAGTAATTATTGCTGCAGTGCCAGGGATGCTATTTTCTCCCCATTTCTCCCCCTGGTCACAGAATCCCCCTGCCTGCCCAGAGCAGGGACAACGTTGCCATGTCCTGGTGGCACCTTGTTGTCCCCATGTGCTGGGCAAGGTGAGGAGCCCAGGCAGAGCAGCAGGACCCTCCCCTCTCTCTGCAAACCCTTCTGGTGGTTTTGCTTCCTCTGGCTGAGCCATTCCACCTCCAAAATGAGCTCCCCTGGTTCTTGCTGGAAGGGCACGGCTTGCTGCAGGATGGGTGGACATCCCTCAGGGAAGGAAATGAACTCCTAGAGATGGTGGCTGAGCCCACCAAGGACAGTTGTCCTGCCTTGTCATCACCTGTGAGAGCTCAAAGCAGCCCCCAAAAGCCACCTGTGCAGCTTACCTCCATGTGGGACACCACCAGCAGCATCCTCCTGCTGCTGGCATTCCT